GCCAAATCGGATTTTTACGCGGGAACAATGAACATGAAGCGAAAATTGAAAGAAATCTGGGCGGAAAATGCGTAAATAGGGGGTAAGGGGATTTGGGGCGGAAAGTTACGGGGGTGCTGGGGCTGGGGGTGTAATTAGTTTGGAACTATCTGGAATAAGGAATCCGGATTTTAATGGATATTGGTTTTTATTTCAAAACAGGACAGACGACGTGATTTATAAAGCTGTTGCGACACAAATAACAAAATTGCAAGCCAATTTTAGATATTTTCTGATATAACTAACTGCTGGGTTTCTATGGTTGCGTAATGGGGGATTTCTCACGAATGAAATTCATCAACGGAAAAAGAAACCCCTTAATGAGCTTTTCCGTACATTATAACGTGGGTCGTAGGATAAAAACACGTGAGTTAAAAAAAATCTAAATGGTGAAAATACCGACAAGAGATTCTACTCCTCAGTCTAGGGTACAATGGCTTTAATATCCCGGTTCAAATTAATTTGAGTTATTATAAAATCCGTGTGTATCGATATCGACAAATTCGTCTTCGTTTTTTTTGGCAGTCAGATAGCGAATGAACATTTTACGAATTGTTTCTTTAAAACATCATTCAGGACTTTATAGAATTTTTGCTTGTAATTTATGTTTTAAAAAATCCCAATATTCATAAATTATTTCGACCGGTTCCAAATCAGTGTAGCTATGTAGATTTCAGGTTTTTTCTGCAAATAATCGTATTATTTTGAATATATTAGCTTGAGAGGATTTTTAAGAGCAATCCAAACCGACCAGCTTAAAATATAGGCATATATTTGTTGTTTTTTCTGATTCCTGTTAATTTCCTTTTCACATTTTGCTATAATATATATAGAATTATAATGATTTTAAAATTGGTTCTTTTGCTTGACGTTTCAAAAACTATCAAAGTTTTCAAAGCCGCACGTTTAAAATGTTCCCAGTCAATTTTAGGTCCCTTGGTGTTTTATTTTCGGATAAATTTAAAGGAATCTAGTTTTTTGTTACTGGATAAACTTGAAAAAATCTTTTGAGCTTTTTGCGTCTCATTTTTTACAAATTAAAAAAAAATTATTTTTTTTAATTCCATTTCGGGACCCCGTTTTTTTTTTGGTAAAATTTAAACCAATCTTGAGGTTCTAGATATTCCTATTTGGTAAGAATTGAAAGTACTTTGAAACCTCTAGTGTCTTTTCTAATAATAATTTAATTTAATCTCTTGGAGAATACGTTATTTGCTAAAATCAGTCTTATCTTAGCAAGTACTAGCCCCGCCCACCCACCCTCTCTTTTCTTAGAGAATATGTTATTTGCCAAAATCAGTCCTCTCTTTTTTTAGAGGGTCTGTACCTTCATTTTATTTTCTTAGCGAGTATGTCATTTGCCAAAATCGATCTTATTTTAGCAGGTACTAACCCCGCCCACCCACCCTTTCTTTTGTTAGAGCGAAAGTCTTTTGCCAAAATCCGTCTTATCTTAGCAGGTACCAGCCCCGCCCACCCACCCTCTCTTTTCTTAGGGGTATTTCATTCGCCAAAATCAGTCTTATCTCAGTAAGTACTACCCCGGTCCACTTACCCTTAATTTTCTTAGAGAGAATTATTAAGAAAAAACAGACAAAATATAACCCCCGCCCACCCGCCCTGTCTCAATTCTGATGATTTTTTTTAATTCGGCGTAAGCCGAGGGGCGGGGCTTAACTGCTAAATGTTTATTTCTCAATGAGAAATTAAAAACATGTTTTTGAGTATCGTGTTGTTCAAAGAATATTACGTATATTAAGAAAAAAATAAAGCCAAAGATTAGGCTCCACTCATACTCGCCACGATCTCAATTCTCAATTGTGATGAATTTTTCATTCGTTGCCAGATGGAAGGGCGGGGCTTAATTGCAAATCAATTTTTGTCTACAATAATTTACCACTTTAAACATGTTTTAAATATTTAAAAGGCAAAATATAAGCCCCGCCCACCCGCCCTATCTCAATGGTGGTGATTTTTTGTATATTTTGCCTCTTTTTCTTAATATTATTTATTAATTATTCTTTAACACGATACTCAAAAACAAGTTTTTAATTCCTTGTAAAGAAATAAGTAGTTTGCAGTCAAGCTTCGCCCTCTTGGTTCACGGCGAATAAAAAAAAATCATCACAATTGAGATAGGGCGGGTGGGCGGGTTTACTTTTTCCTTTTTGTTTTAATTCGTAGGGCAATATGGATTTTGCAAAAAAGGCAAAATATAAGCCCCGCCCACCCGCCCTAACTCAGTTGTCATGATTTTTTTTATTGGTCGTGAGCCAAGAGGGCGGAGCTTAATTGCAAAACCCTTATTTCTCTGCAAGAAATTACCGCGTAAGACGTGTTTTGAGTATCGTGTTCTTCAAAGAATACTATGTATATTAAGTAAAAACTAAAGATCTAATCTCCAATAAAAAATTAAAGTGGATAAAAAAATGGTTCCAGCTTGCTTGTGCAAATAATTAAGAAATATACAGTCAAATGTAAGGAAAAAAATTGGGCTTTAGAGTTTTTGTGAAAAAATTTACAAATAGTTTAGAATGAACATTAATTTCATTTATTTCAAATAATACATTGTCAAGATTTGATTTTCTGGTCAGTTATAATTTTAAAAATCCATTTTCCAACCAAATTTTTCCAAAATTATGATTCGGGACCGTCAAATCACCTCGAAGTCTATTTCCCGGAATTACTTGAGGAATTTTAGGCAACTTTTCAAAAGTTCAATTTTTTATGAATTTTTGAGTTTTTTTTTTAAATTACCTAAAGATATTTTGTTTTTTCTGATTCACTTTATTAAAAAAAAATAATAATAATAATAAGATGTGCTTTGGCGGTTTATTAACATGTATTCCAAAAATTTGCTCAAGTTTAGAATTAGAGTTTTACTTGTAAAAAAATATATGAACCAACTCCAAACAAAAACTTTGGGCATTAGAGTTTTTTTGAAAAAAATTGTGTAGAACAAATAATTTAGAATTAATTTATTTCATGTAGTTCAATGTCAAAAAATCAAAATTTTTTAATTTCTAGATCACTTGGTGACTTTATTCGTTTTAGGGAAGCAATTCGCTGATATTTCTGAATACATAATGGGTTTTAAAAAAATTTGAAAAAACACTTCCTGAGAAATTAAAAAATTATGCCCAATTTAATCGAATTCTAAGTTACCTCACATTAAATCTAAAATCGTTTTGGTCAAAACACATCTCATATGATCTAGTTTTTTATTACTTCAAAATTTCAATTTTTTATGAATTTTTGAGTTTTTTTTTTTTTAATTACCTAAAGATATTTTGTTTTTTCTGATTCACTTTATTAAAAAAAAAAAAAATAATAATAAGATGTGCTTTGGCGGTTTATTAACATGTATTCCAAAAATTTGCTCAAGTCTAGAATTAGAGTTTTACTTGTAAAAAAATATATGAACCAATCTAAACAAAAATTTTGGGCATTAGAGTTTTTTTGAAAAAAATTGTGTAGAAGAAATAATTTAGAATTAATTTATTTCATGTAGTTCAATGTCAAAAAATCAAATTTTTTTAATTTGCAGATCACTTGGTGACTTTATTCGTTTTAGGGAAGCAATTCGCTGATATTTCTGAATACATATGGGTTTTAAAAAAATTTGAAAAAACACTTCCTGAGAAATTAAAAAATTGTGCCCAATTTAATCGAATTCTAAGTTACCTCACATTAAATCTAAAATCGTTTTGGTCAAAACACATCTCATATGATCTAGTTTTTTATTACTTCAAAATTTCAATTTTTTATAAATTTTTGAGTTTTTTTTTTAAATTACCTAAAGATATTTTGTTTTTTCTGATTCACTTTATTAAAAAAAAAAAATAATAATAATAATAAGATGTGCTTTGGCGGTTTATTAACATGTATTCCAAAAATTTGCTCAAGTTTAGAATTAGAGTTTTACTTGTAAAAAAATATATGAACCAACTCTAAACAAAAATTTTCGGCATTAGAGTTTTTTTGAAAAAAATTGTGTAGAAGAAATAATTTAGAATTAATTTATTTCATGTAGTTCAATGTCAAAAAATCCATATTTTTTAATTTCCAGATCACTTGGTGACTTTATTCGTTTTAGGGAAGCAATTCGCTGATATTTCTGAATACATAATGGGTTTTAAAAAAATTTGAAAAAACACTACCTGAGAAATTAAAAAATTATGCCCAATTTAATCGAATTCTAAGTTACCTCACATTAAATCTAAAATCGTTTTGTTCAAAACACATCTCATATGATCTAGTTTTTTATTACTTCAAAATTTCAATTTTTTATGAATTTTTGAGTTTTTTTTTTAAATTACCTAAAGATATTTTGTTTTTTCTGATTCACTTTATTAAAAAAAATAATAATAATAATAATAATAAGATGTGCTTTGGCGGTTTATTAACATGTATTCCAAAAATTTGCTCAAGTTTAGAATTAGAGTTTTACTTGTAAAAAAATATATGAACCAAATCTAAACAAGAATTTTGGGCATTAGAGTTTTTTTGAAAAAAATTGTGTAGAAGAAATAATTTAGAATTAATTTACTTCATGTAGTTCAATGTCAAAAAATCAAAATTTTTTAATTTCCAGATCACTTGGTGACTTTATTCGTTTTAGGGAAGCAATTCGCTGATATTTCTCAATACATAATGGGTTTTAAAAAAATTTGAAGAAACACTTCCTGAGAAATTAAAAAATTATGCCCAATTTAATCGAATTCTAAGTTACCTCACATTAAATCTAAAATCGTTTTGGTCAAAACACATCTCATATGATCTAGTTTTTTATTACTTCAAAATTTCAATTTGTTATGAATTTTTGAGTTTTTTTTTTTAATTACCTAAAGATATTTTGTTTTTTCTGATTCACTTTATTAAAAAATAATAATAATAATAATAATAATAATAAGATGTGCTTTGGCGGTTTATTAACATGTATTCCAAAAATTTGCTCAAGTTTAGCATTAGAGTTTTACTTGTAAAAAAATATATGAACCAACTGTAAACAAAAATTTTAGGCATTGGAGTTTTTTTGAAAAAAATTGTGTAGAAGAAATAATTTAGAATTAATTTATTTCATGTAGTTCAATGTCAAAAAATCAAAATTTTTTAATTTCCAGATCACTTGGTGACTTTATTCGTTTTAGGGAAGCAATTCGCTGATATTTCTGAATACACAATGGGTTTTAAAAAAATTTGAAAAAACACTTCCTGAGAAATCAAAAAATTATGCCCAATTTAATCGAATTCTAAGTTACCTCACATTAAATCTAAAATCGTTTTGGTCAAAACACATCTCATATGATCTAGTTTTTTATTACTTCAAAATTTCAATGCTTAAAAATTTGAAAATATTTCTTCGTAAGAATTCCTTCTTTTCGGAAATATGGCTGTGGTCAAAATTTCAGAACAGTTATTTGTTGTAGTCACTCACTTTCGTTTTTCAAAAAAAAAAAAACCAAAAATCTTGTTTTTTTCCCCCGGAATTAACCTAAAAATCCCGTTCCCACCTCCTCAATCCCGCAATTTATGATCTCCTCGCCACTAATTAAGCCGAGAGGTGCGCAATTAATTACCCTTGACAAGGAAGCAAAGATTCCTCTCGCGGATGTCCATACCCGGATGATTAATTCCTCATTTACATCATTACACAAAACTCCGTAATTAATAGTCCGCTCGACCGGACTTTCATTTAAATAGTCCCCGAACAAACGAAACTATTCACAATTTGACACCTGACGCCACTCAGTCAATAACCCCATAAAAAAGAAACTTCTGGGCTGGTATTGTTCTCGTTGCAACACCGCGAACAAAAAGAGCGATCGTTGTTTCCGAAGCTAATTGCAAGCAGCTCGTTCTCGAGTTAAATTACCCCAAAAATTTGTCCAAATCGGGGGCCGCCGGCGAAATGTGCTTGGCTTTATCGGGGTCTTAAAATAGCGCCGGTGTCGAATTGCGGAATGGCTTCGGGTTACGAGACACACCTGTAAGTGATTGCTTTCAAAGACAACAAATTCTCATTATAGGCGGTTAATTCGATGGTGTTTTTATAAAGATCGTGTACGGCGGCTGATTGCGCATTTTTCTGGGACGAGAATGAGGTTTGTTTAGCTAACGAGAGGTAATTTCATTTCGTGGCTACCTGAATGGAGGCGGATTTCGAAAGCTTAGCGCGAAATTAGAGGTTTTGGTTGCACAAATCGGGTGGTTTTGGAGTGGTACAAGGGCGCGGCTTGGACCTACGCGTTTTTTCGGTTACGTGAATGATCTGATTTTACTCTAAAACAGCTTGTGAACTTGTAACCGATGGAACTATCGTCACTTCATGAAATGAGAAAAAAATCAGTACGAGGAGGTTATGAAAAACAAACACTACAAACCGGTACTTGCGAAATTGCAATTTCTTGACACACTTAGTTAATACAACGTCATCATTGTTTATTTTATTCTTACGATTTAGTAATTCCAACAATAAGAAAAATCAGTCAAAACCAGTCAAAACCAGAATTTTGATCTTCGTAAATATTGACCTAAGTAAATAAATTACAATACAAAGCACAATTTTCTGTAGCAGATTTTAGGATATTTTTAGCATGAAATCGTCTTCCAGTGTGAATATTTGCATAAACCGTACGCCAGTTTCGAGATTAAACGAACCTTCTGCAGAGTCTAAGCAAATTTTTTTTTGGAGTTGATTTCATGTATATTTGTTCCCAAGTAAGACCCTAATTTTAAACTAGAGCTAATTTTTCGAATCCATTTTAATTAATAAACCGTCAAAGCACATTTGAGATTTTTGAAAAATTGACCAAAATTCGTCAAAAAATTCTGAGAAATGCGTTTCGAGGAACTGATTCAAAAAACATAACGCGTTTGTGGTCCTGGACCAAGATTTTTGAAAAATTCGGTTCGAAAACGAATTTTTTAAAAAACTCAAAAATCGTCATTTTTAATAGATTGAGGACAAAGCCAACTAGTACATAATTTTTTTTTAAACGCTTGTTTTTAATTTTAGTACAGGTTTTGTTTGTCCAAGCATAATGACAAAAAAATTACCTGTCCCATTTTTCGGTTTGATTAACTTGTTAAATTTTCCCTAAAAACTGTCTCTGTTTTTTTATCCTGAACACTTTAAATTCATTTTTCATAAATGCTAAGTTAAATTCAAAGTTAAATTGTTCATTCGAAAGTATTTTTTCTATACAGAAAAACTCTAATGCCTGAAAATTGTCTTTGGAGTTGATTTCATGTATATTTTTTTCCCAAGTAAGACCCTAATTTTAAACTAGAGCTAATTTTTCGATTAAACCGTCAAAGCACATCTAACATTTTTGAAAAATTGACTAAAATTCGTCAAAAATTCTGAGAAATGCGTTTCGACGAACTGATTCAAAAAACATAACGCGTTTGTGGTCCTGGACCAAGATTTTTGAAAAATTCGGTTCGAAAATGGATTTTTTAAAAAACTCAAAAATTCATTTTTAATTGATTGAGGACAAATTGTTGGAATTTTTGGAGGAATTCAGATAAGTCGAAATCTGTTTGTGTTTATTGGACAAAGAAAAAATAATTTAAAAAATCCTTGGGCCCAAATGTGGTTTAATTTTCCTGTTCAATATTTCATTCTTCATTTTATCTCATGATACATACGCAAGAAATTTAAAAATTGTTCAGAATGAATCTAACAACAGTCTTTTTCTAAGTGAACATCAAATTGACGTACAACAAAGCGATTTTTTTATCACTCTATATACTTGAAGTAGCCAATATTTTGGAATATTCGTGAATAATTATTTTTATGAAAGTCTTTCCTTATATTTGGACCTGATCGATGAGTAATTAGAAGGTGAGATATCAATAAAAATCGTCCTCAAGTTAGCACTGGACGTTCACGCTATTATTTCAAGGTCGGCAATGCACATCCCGCGCCAACTAGTAAATAATTTTTATTAATCGCTTGTTTTTAATTTTATTCCCGATTGTATCCTTTCGAGGTATCTAAAGAAAATAAAAAAATTTAAATTGTTCATTCGAAAGTATTTTTTCTATACAAAAAACTCTAATGCCTGAAAATTTTTTTTGGAGTTGATTTCATGTATATTTTTTTCCCAAGTAATACCCTAATTTTAAACTAGAGCTAATTTTTCGAATCCATTTTAATTAAACCGGCAAAGCACATCAGAGATTTTTGAAAAATTGACCAAAATTCGTCAAAAGACCTGAGAAATGCGTTTCGACGAACTGATTAAAAAAACATAACGCGTTTGTGGTCCCGGACCAAGATTTTTGAAAAATTCGGTTCGAAAACGGATTTTTGGAAAAACTCAAAAATCGTCATTTTTAATAGAATGAGGACAAATTGTTGGAATTTTTGGAGGAATTCAGATAAGTCGAAACCTGTTTTTGTTTACTGGGCAAAGAAAAAATAATTTAAAAAATCCTTGGTCCTAAATGTGGTTTAATTTTCCTCTTCAATATTTCATTCTTCATTTTATCTTATGAAACATACGCAAGAAATTTAAAAATTGTTCAGAATGAATCTAACAATAGTCTTTTTCTAAGTGAACATCAAATTGACGTATAACAAAGCGATTTTTTGATCACTGTATACTTGAAGTAGCCAATATTTTTAATATTCGTGAAGAATTATTTTCATGAAAATTTTTACTTATATTTGGACCTGATCGATGAGTAATTAGAAGGTGAGATATCAATAAAAATCGTCCTCAAGTTAGCACTGGACGTTCACGCTGTTATTTCAAAGTCGGCTATGCACAACATCCCGCGCCAACTAGTAAATAATTTTTTTTAAACGCTTGTTTTTAATTTTAGTACAGGTTTTGTTTGTCCAAGCATAATGACAAAAAATTGACTGTCCCATTTTTCCGTTTGATTAACTTGTTAAATTTTCCATAAAAACTGTCTCTGTTTTTTTATCCTGATAACTTTAAATTCATTTTTCATAAATGCTAAGTTAAATTCAAATTTAAATTGTTCATTCGAAAATTTTTTTCTATACAGAAGACTCTTTGGAGTTGATTTCGTGTATATTTTTTTCCCAAGTAAAACCCTAATTTTAAACTAGAGCTAATTTTTCGAATCCATTTTAATTAAACCGTCAAAACACATCTGGAATTTTTGAAAAATTGACTAAAATTCGTCAAAAAATTCTGAGAAATGCATTTCGACGAACTGATTGAAAAAACAAAACTCAAAAATCGTCATTTTTAATAGATTGGGGACACATTGTTGGAATTTTTGGAAGAATTCAGATAAGTCGAAATCTATTTTTAGGTAATTTTGAAATTGACATTAGTCAAAATTAAACCCAATCTCTTTTAGAATTAAAAAATAACTAAGAAAATCTAAAAAAGAACTAATTCAATGATATCAGAAGTGTCTTTTCATTCAAATCAACATTGACACTTTTTTGTTTTATAGAAAAAACGCGTTAATGAAGGTTTTATAAATAAGACGCTATTGTCGTCAACTGATAGAAGAGGTTTATGTATAAGAAAGTGATTACGGGTATAAAGTTACACTGGATAAACTCGAACAAAGCCAAGAAACATAATGATCAGTTCTGGATAATAAGTATCCACGGTAAATTGTTTACCCATATTTACTACAGAGAAAGTTTGCTGTACTTCAAGCGATCCTTGAAGTTAACGAGTACACTTAAACAAATATAGTAAATTCTATATTCTACTACAGAACTATATTTAACAATTTTTACAAGATTATCAAAAAATTTAATAACCCAGAATTTTGATTAAATTGTTAAGAACACTTGTTTAGCTACAATGTAACGAATAAAATTAAATTAGCAAGAGTGAAACCAGGTCAAAGTTCACCCCGAAGCTCCCAAAAACCACTTTTTAACCGTCAAACTTCCGATCGAGCTTCGGAAGCTCGTTCCATCCACTCCGATCCCGGCACATTTCCAGCATCCACAAGAAACTGTTAAATAGATTAACTTAATAGCATACACACGCTCCCAGCTATAAACCCCGCTAAAACTGCTAAATACCTCCCGACCATGCAAAAAGAAACCATTTCCACCAACGATTCCGATTAATTCAAACGTAACCTAGATTTTAATTAATATCTGTGCACTTTCTGTGCAAATCCATGCAGCTGGCATTCTCGTGGAGCTCGTGTACAGAGAGCGGGTCAACACTCCGTGAACTCTATTTTCACTAATTCTGTGTACGCGGCCTAGATTATCGGCATACATGACGCTCTATTAATCCAAATTCGTTGTGGGTCCTGATTTTTCGCGATGGATATCGTGCCGAGTCAAGTACGAAAGTTATGGCGGTGTGCTAGTTATAAAATGATTTAACAGGCTGAAAGCATTTCAAGGAATTGTGCTCAAATGGAAATGTAAATGTTTGAACATTAATTGTATAAACATTTATACTGTTATGGCAAATGTAAACCGACCGAAATAATTATCATCGGTTCGGGTTTAGTCAACCGGGAGGTGGAAGTGCAACATTAAAATACAAATAATTACGGTGGTTGTGGGTTTCGACCTCCAAATTATGGATGAGCTGACGGTTTCTAAAATTTATGACATGAATGTAAAGCGGAAATAGACACAGATTTGGAATGGGACTGTAGCGAACGTCCGACTAGCATAACATCAATTTTTTTGATATCTTAGATGGCAGATTTCAAATTTTTACAAGACATTTGGACAAGAAATTCTAAAAAAAAAATACCTAAATATTTTACATTACCAACTTGACTTGACACGTAACAGCCAAGTATTCTGTAAATTTTGACCATAGGCGTATTAAAAAAAGAAAAATGTTTGCAAGTAAAATTTTCAAGTTTTTGGACATCTGGATGGCAGGTTTCAAAATATTAATTATTTATTAAACGAACAGGAAAAATTTAGAAAATGGAGTATATTATTTTGACCCAAAGAGAACAAATCAGATTCGTTTTGATAATTTTAAAGCTAATTTTCCAAAATCCCAACGATTTACATTTAAGATGAATGAAGTTTTAAAATTTTAAAAATTGAGTACCTTTTGATTCAAAGAGATCAAATCGGAGCCCTTTTGACATGATCCACAGATTTAAAATGAACCCGACAAGAATTGTCTACGAATTTCAAAAATTAAGTGAGAATAACACCTCGAGGTCCGGTAATTTTGGCCATAGCGGTATTAAAAAAAACAAGAAAAATCTTATGAAGGAAAATTTTCAAATTTTTGGTTACCTTAGATGGCAGATTTTAAATTTTAAAGTAACCGACGAGAGTAAAAATTTTGAAAATGAGTTATATCTTGATTAAAAAAATCCAATCAGATCCGTTTTGACAAAGAATTCTAAAGAAATGTTAACTTTAATGCCCTACTATGAAGAACTTATATTGAAAAAAAAAAACAATATACATATCTTCGAGTTTAAAAAATAACTAAAAAAATCTTAAATTGAACTATTCGTTGTACAATTTTTCCTTCAAATAAAGTCAGAATTCAATGTAATTAGGCCTATTTTTTTAATTTCCCTGACTCTTTTTTTTCAAAATTTTTAAATCAGATTTTCCAAAATCCGAACGAATTATTTCCTTAAAACGAATAAACTCAACTCAGTAGTACGAAACAGTCAAGAGTTCTGTAAATGTTGTCCTTAGTCGTAGGTATTAAAAAAAATCTGACGAAGGAAAATTTTCAATTTTCCAAAAATATTGGCCCAGATTGGAAGCTTTGAAAAACTCTCGACTAGAATGAATTTTTTTGAGATCTTAGGTGGCAGTTTTCAAAATTTGAAATAACCGACACGAGGAAACACTTTGAAAATAGGGTATATTTTGACTCAAAACGATGAAATGAAAAACCCATTTTCACTCCGTTTTGACAAAAAAATTCTAAAAAGAAATATCTAAATGTTCTACTATTACGAAGATAACAAGTTCAAGAATAAAAACATGTTGTCTACGAATTTAAAAACTAACTGAGGATAACCTCTCGATGGGCGTTGATTTTGAACATAGTCGTAAAAAAAGGAAGGAAAATTTTGAAATTTTTGGTTACCTTACATGGCAGATTTAAATTTTGAAATAATCGATAAATTTGGACTCAAAGAGATAAGCCTTTTTTTAAATTTTTATTCAAAAATTAATTCCTTAAAACGAATAAACTCAGCAGAACAATACAGTCAAGATTTCTGTAAATTTTGACCAGAGCCGTATTAAAAAAATCTTACAAAGAAAAAGTTGCTGGGTATGCAGATTTCAAAATATTAAGTAAATGATAACAGGAAAATTTTTGAAAATACAGTAAATTTTGATTCAGAGATCAGACTGGACCCGTTTCAACAAAAAATGTTGATTCTCAAAGTTAAAATGAATTAAATTTTTTTTTTTTTGGTGTCCCAAACGGCATATTTCGAAATTTGAAATAACGGAATCGAATAAAAATTTTGAAAATGGGTATATTTTGACTCAAAAGGATGACATTTTTTGACCCCGTTTTGACAACAAATTCTAAAAAAATAGTATAAACGTTATACTACTTATTATGATTATGAGAGAACTTCAAGAATAAAATAACTGAGAATAACTTTTCCATGACCGAAAAAAAGAAAAAACTCCTATGAAGGAAAATTTTCACCATTTGTGGTAGATTTCAAATTTTGAAGAAACCCACAAAAGTAAAAATTAAAAAAAAAGGAGTATATTTTGACTAAAAAAAAAAGATCAAAACAGACACGTTCTGACAAAAAGTTCCAAAAACAAAAAACCCAAATATCTTCAAGTTTAAAAAAATAGCTAAAGAAATCTTAAAAATCTGTTCGTCTCTCTGGATGCCAGGTTTCAAAATACTCCTATTAAAAAACGAATTGGAAAAATTCCAAAAATGGAGCATATTTTGACTCAAAAATACCAAATTAGATTCGTTTTGACAAAAAAATAGTGATCGATTTTATTAAATAAAGCCGGAATTCAATGAAATTAGGTCTATTTTTTTAGTTTCCCGACCTGTTTTCGTATCAAAAATTACTTCCTTAAAACGAATAAACTCAGTAGAACAAAACAGTCAAGGTTTTGTTCAGAGCTGTATTAAGAAAATCTTACAAAGAAAAAGTTGCTGGGTATCTAGATGGCAGGTTTCGAAATATTAAGTAAATAACAAGAGGAAAAATTTTGAAAATAGAGTAAATTTTGATTCAGAGATCAGACTAGACTCATTTTGACAAAAAATGTTGATTCTCAAAGTTAAAATGAACTAAAATCTATTTTTTTTTTGTATCCTAAATGGCGTATTTCGAAATTTGAAATAACCGAAACGACTAAAAATTTTGAAAATGGGTATATTTTGACTTAAAACGATGAAATTTTTTTGACCCCTTTTTGACAAAAACTTCTAAAAATGTACATCTAAACGTTGTAATTCAAGAATAAAACCAAGTTGCCTGCGAATTTAAACATTAACTGAGAATAAATTCCCGATTACAGAAGAAAAGAACAAAACCCCTATGAAGGAAAATTTTCAAATTTTTGGTTACTTTAGATGGCCGATTTCAAACCGACAAGAGTAAATATTTTAAAAATCGACTATATTTTGAGTAAAAAAAAATCAATACAGACACGTTCTTACAAAAATTACTAAAAAAAACAAAATATCTTCAAGCTTAAAAAATAACTAAGAAAATTTAAAAAAATCTATTCGTTGCACAATGTTTCCTTCAAATAAAGGCAGAATTCAATGAAATTAGGCGTAATTTTTTAATTTCTCGTTTTCAAGTTTTTGGACATCTGAATGACAAGTTTCAAAATGCTCCTATTAAAAAACCAACAGGAAAAATTTCAAAAATGGCGCATATTTTGACTCAAAGGGATCAAATCAGACTCGTTTTGACAAAAAGTACTGATCGATTTTATTAAATAAACCCGGAATTCAATGACATTAGGTCCATTTTTTTAATTTCCCGGCCTGTTTTTACTTCAAAAATTATTTCCTTAAAACTCAGTAGAACAAAACTGTAAAGGTTTCTGTAAATTTTGACCAGAGCCGTATTAAAAAAACGTTACAAAGAAAAGTTGCTGGGTATCTAGATGGCAGGTTTCAAAATATTAAATAAATGACAACAGGGAAAATTTTGAAAATAGAGTAAGACAAAAAATGTTGACTCTCAAGGTTAAAATGAACTAAAACCTATTTTTTTGGTATCCTAGGTGGCGTATTTCGAAATTTGAAATAAACGAAACGAATGAAAATTTTGAAAATGGGTATATTTTGACTTAAAACGATGAAATTTTTTGACCCCGTTTTGACAAAAAATTCTAAAAAAATAATCTAAACATTCTACTACTACGAGACAACTTCAAGAATAAAACCAATTTGTCTACGAATTTGAAAATTAACTGAGAATAACTTCCCGATGACACAAAAAAAGAACAAAACCACTATGAAGGAAAATTTTCAAATTTTTGGTTACTTTAGATGGCCGATTTCAAATTTTGCAGAAACCGACAAGAGTAAAACTTTTAAAAATCCAGTATATTTTGAGTCAAAAAACAATCAAAACAGGCACGTTCATACAAGGATTTCTAAAAAAAAGAACAAAATATCTCCAAGTTTAAAAAATAACTAAGAAAATTTTAAAAATCTATTCGTTGCACAATAATTCATCCAAATAAAGACAAAATTCAATGAAATTAGGCATACCTTTTTAATTTCCCATTTTCAACTTTTTGGGTATGTGGATAACAGGTTTCAAAATACTCCTATTAAAAAAAAGAACAGGAAAAATCGCAAAAATGGAGCATATTTTGTCGCAAAGAGATCCAATTAGACTCGTTTTGACAAAAAATACTGATCGATTTTATTAAATAAAGCTGGAATTCAATGACATTAGGTCTATTTCTTAATATCCCGGGCTGTTTTTTTTTTCAAAAATTACTTTCTTAAAACGAATAAACTCAGTCCAGGTTTTTGTAAAATTTGACCAGAACCGTATTAAAAAAATCTTACAAAGGAAAAGTTGCTGGGTATCTAAATAGCAGGTTTCAAAATATTAAATAAAGGACAAGAGGAAAAATTTTGAAAATAGAGTAAATTTTGATTCAAAGATCGGACTAGATTCGGTTTGACAAAAAATGTTGATTCTCAAAGTCAAAATGAACTAAAATCTATTTTCTTGGTATTGATGACAAATTAAAATTTTGAATGGGTATATTTTGACTCAAAACGATGAAATTTTTTGATCCCGGTTTGACAAAAAATTCTAAAAAGAATTTAACCGACATGTTCTACTTGGTATTACGAAGATAAATTTAAGAATAAAATCTATCTAGCTACAAATTTAAAAAATAAATGAGCATAACTTCTCGATGACTGTTAATTTTGACGATAACGATATTAACAGGAAAAAGAAAACAAAGAAAAAGAAAAATCTTATGAAGCAAAGCAAAATTTACAAATTTTTGGTTAGTTTAGATGGCAGATTTCAAATTTTGTAGAAAGTGACGAGAGTAAAAATTTTAAAAATAGAGTATATTTTGATTCAAAAAAATTAAATCAGACCCATTTTGACAAAAAAATCTAAAAAAGTTGACCCAAATGTTCAACAATTATGATATAACTAAGAAAATCTAAAAAGGAGCTAGTTTTTACAACACATTCTCCAAAATGAACAAATTATTTCCTTAAGAGGAATCAATTCAGTAGTAGAAAAAAGCCAAGTATTTTATGAATTTTGACCATAGCCGTATTAAAAAAAAAAAAAAATTCTTTGCTAAAAATTTTCAAGTTTTTGGGCATCTGGATGGCAGGTTTGAAAATATTAAAAAACGAACAGGAAAAATTTACAAAATGGAATATATTTTGCCCCAAACAGACTAAATCAGACTCGTTTAGACAAAAAATACTCACCGATTTTATTAAATAAATCCAAAATTCAATGAAATTAAGCGTATTTTTCGAATTTTTCGGCCCGTTTTCCTTTCAAAAATTACTTCCTTAAAACGTATGAAGTCATTAGTACAAAAAGTGAAGGCTTATGTAAATTTTGACCATAGCCGTATTAAAAAAATCTTATAACGGAAAATTTGCTGACATAATTATCTAGATGACAGGTTTCAAAATATGAAGCAATTGACAGCAGGAAAATTTTCAAAATAGAGAGTATTTTGACTAAAGGTAGTTTTCAAAATTTGAAATAACCGACACGACTAAACATTGTGAAAATAGGGCATATTTTGACTCAAACCAATGAAATCAAACCCGTTTTGACATAATTTCGATCATAGCCATATTCAAAAAGGAGAAAAATCTTCTGAAGGAAAATTTTCAAATTTTTGGTTACCTTAGATGGCAGATTTCAAATTTTGAAGTAACAGACAAGAGTAAAAATTTTGAAAATAAGCATATTTTGATCCAAAAAAATCAAATCAAACTCGTTTTGACAAAGAATGTTGCCAGATTTTATTAAATAAAGATAGAATTAAATGAAATTATAAGAATAAGAATAAGAATAAGTTTATTGCACAACTAGAGCAGCGTACAAAAAGTTAGAATACAGGCTAACCCTGATACTAAAACGATTCTAACTCATACCTACACCTAAATTATTGATATTTTTTCCTGCCCGAACCGTTCTTTTTTAAATTTTTTAAAGCAAATTTTCCAAATTACGTACAAATTACTTTCTTAAAACGAATAGACTCAATAGCAAAAAGCAGTAAAGATTTCTGTAAATTTTGACCATGGCCATATTAAAAAAAATAACAAAGGAAAATTTTCAAGGTTTCAAAACATTGAGTAATTGACAACAGGAAAAATTTTGAAAATAGGGTGTATTTTGACTCAAGACAATCAAAGCAAACCCGTTTTGACATAATTTTGATCATAGCCGTATTCAAAAAGGAGAAAAATCTTCTGAAGGAAAATTTTCAAATTTTTGGTTACCGTAGATGGCAGATTTCACATTTTGAAGCAACAGAGAAGAGTAAAAATTTTGAAAATAAGCATATTTTGATCAAAAAAATCAAATCAAATCTGTTTTGACAAAAAATTCTAAAAAAAGTTACCTTTTCTTTTAAATTTTGACCATAGGCGTATTAAAAAAAGAAAAACCTTACCAAGGAAAATTTTCAAGGTATTGGTGATCTGGATGGTAGGTCTCAAAATATTACAAAACGAACAGGAAATATTTGGAAAATGGAATATATTTTGACCCAAAAAATCAAATCAGACTCGTTTTGACAGAGAATGTTGCTCGATTTTATTAAATAAAGACAGAATTAAATGAAATTAGTGATATTTTTTCCTGTCCGAACCGTTCTTTTTTAAATTTTTTAAAGCAAATTTTCCAAATTATGTACAAATTACTTTCTTAAAACGAATAGACTCAATAGCAAAAAGCAGTCAAGATTTCTGTAAATTTTGACCATGGCCATATTAAAAAAAATAACAAAGGAAAATTTTCAAGGTTTCAAAACATTGAGTAATTGACAACAGGAAAAATTTTGAAAATAGGGTGTATTTTGACTCAAGACAATGAAATCAAACCCGTTTTGACATAATTTTGATCATAGCCGTATTCAAAAAGGAGAAAAATCTTCTGAAGGAAAATTTTCAAATTTTTGATTACCGTAGATGGCAAATTTCAAATTTTGAAGCAACAGACAAGAGTAAAAATTTTGAAAATAAGCATATTTTGATCAAAAAAAATAAAATCAAACCTGTTTTGACAATGAATTCTAAAAAAAGTTACCTTTTTTTTTAATTTTGACCATAGGCGTATTAAAAAAAGAAAAACCTTACCAAGGAAAATTTTCAAGGTATTGGTATTAAAAAAATGACAAGGGAAAATTTTCAAGCTTTCAAAACATTGAGTAATTGACAACAGGAAAAATTTTGAAAATAGGGTGTATTTTGACTCAAAACGATGAAATCAAACCCGTTTTGACAAAAAATTAAAAAAAAAACTTGATGTAACAATGGAACACAACGAAAACAACTTCAAAAGTGAAAGCAAAATTCGAGAAAGAACTTGAGAATTTTTTTTCAATTTTTGGATATCCTTGCTAGCAGATCTCAAAATATGAAGTAACTAACAACATCAGGATAAATTTTCAGAAAAGGAGTAGGTATATTTTGATTCAAAGAAATCAAGTCAAACACAATACATTAAAAAATTTCTAAAAAAAAAATTATCTATTTTCCACAAGCAATTTTTTGCTTTGGCAAACCTATTTTCCAAAATATCAGAGAAATGCTTATTTAAAATCAATAACCTGAGTGATCCAAAACCCAAAAGTTCAAAAGTTCTATAGACTTTTTAAAATTTTTGTTGTAAACTGACCAAAATAATTATCATCGGTTCGTAGTTTAGTCAAGCGGAAGGTGCAACAAAAAAATACAAATAATTGCCTCTATCGCGATTTTCGACATCCAAAATATGTAAAATTGACGATTTTCCAAAATTCACGTCATTCATGTAAATCGCAAATAGCCACAGATTTAGAACGAATCTTTGGGGAGCACCCAACAATTATTACAACAAGAATATTTTATTTAGTGTCACGAAATTGGGCTTTAAACGCCGAAATTTCAGATTCAAACCGGCTAAAAACACACTAATAATACACCCGCAGCTAATTAAAAGCGTTGTTAATAAAAAAAGCTTTCACACACCACCACCAGGAGATTAAAATTAAAATCGCATCTAGACAAACTGTTTCCCAATAGGATAAAATACAAAAACGAAACAAATCCGATTGTCACAGCTACGAATTTACTACTAAATTTTATCATAAGCTGACGAGGGTCTTTACCAGGGAGGTTGTCTAAGCATTACCGATTACCGATAGTTCAAGAATTTCAGGATTATAAATTAAATCCTGTATTGTAAAACGTTATCACGAAACTACACAACGAAAAAAACGTTTTTATAATGCAAAGTGAATGTTTAACTTAGTCGTTAATCTCGACAGGTTGAGCAGATTACGGATAAAATACACAAATTAAGAACCACAGCAGTGTAAAAACCCAAACCAGTTTACATTGTAGCGAAGAACCAAACGGAATAAAAAATCGATTACTTCTGTTGTCGCTAATTTAGATATCCTTAATTTGCCGTAAAAAGCCAAATTTAAATATTTTAGTGCCTCGCTGTCAAGGTCGGGCCAATTTGTCCTGATTTTGTACCACACAAGTCTTAAATAATTTTCAGATTGACTATAATTTGTTTTTCGTTTTATCAAGGCTAATGAAATAAAGTGAAATCACCTTATAGTACAAAGTAGCTGTAGAATAATAAGATTCACATTTGAAGAAATTTTGTTCAGTGTTTATTAATTAAAACCGAATCGAAAAATTATTTGAGGATTTGATTTGGTACACAGGTGGTAGTTTTGGAGCGTCTAGTAAGAAAGAAACATCCTGTACTTGGAAAATTTTTTTGATTAAGCGAATTTTAAAATTTTCTACACACAAAACAAGATTTGCATTCAATGATTAATTTTTTTATAGAGCAGGCAGTTTTATTGTCCATGGACGTTAAAATATTCACAGCCCCAGGCGGCCCATAAACTGTTTGAGTTACCAAATCCCACATAACATACGAGATTCAACTTCTGTCAGTTTATTACCCGATATCGAATATCCGATTAGTGTCAAATTACCGAAATTGCTTTATTGTTCTAAAATACGTCCACACGAAGAATCCCCGGCTTGATTTTTGCGCTACGCCACTGGGTTTTTTACAGTTAAGCAATTAGCAATTGATAATGTTAACACGGTTTCCATGTAATTTACATTTCTGTTACAAATTTAGCGTTGCGTAATTACGTGTCGGATAAAAAGCCATGGGCGGGTGCTACTGGGTTTGATATTACCATGTGTGGCTGGCGGTTGAGTTGAAAGGGGATCGATTCGTTATCACAGGTTATTAGCACTGTTATTGTAGAATAAATCATGGTAATTTATGTTTGCTGTGCTGATGAAACGGTAGAGTTGATGTTCGTGTGAATTACCAAAGTAAACGATATTTAGCGATTTGCCGGTGGTTTTTGTTATGGTTAACTGAATCGTCTGAAAATTATATACGACTATATACAACATTCCACGCTTATTACAATTATTAAGAAATGTTCCTGAATGTAAAATAAAATGTATCTTGTATTTATATTGTGTATATAAAAGGTATATAAATGTCTGAACTAATGTTATGTTTGATGTAATGTTATGTAAATGTTGTTAATAAATTTAAGTGTATGTTTTCCGTATGTATTATTGAATTTTAGTTTGCGATTTTGTGTGCGGAGTCACCTGTTATGTTTTCAACGATTTAATTTACACTTACGTGCAATATTTTTTTAATTTGTATCGTTTCACGTAGCGTTTCACTGTAACATTTTCATGTTCGTATATTCACGATTAACTGAAGAGAAATTAGAATTTAGCAATATATTTATATAAAAAACACAAATTCATGTAAAAATTTAGTCTTCGACTTTTGTACATAAAATAATTTTCATAGTTACAAAAATTATATATTGTATGCTTTGCATATCCAGAAGCAACCAATTTTATAAAGTAAAGAAATTAGTCCTAAGCGAAATTTAGATAAAGAAATTGGTAGCCCTCTCCAAATTTTCGTCAGACTTTTTTATATGATTGTTATAACTGAACTTAAGAAAGTGTTTACTAAATTTTAAAGTTTAATAATCGATTGCTCTGATTGGGAGAAATATTGTTTCTAAAGTGGAAATTGTGGAACAATTCTTCGTTTGCCATTCGACGGATGTTTGATTTCAAGCGATTTCGTAACCTGTACTAACTTAGTTCTAGTTGCGTTATTAATTTTTTGTTGATATTTTTTCTGTACATATTTTACTTCGTTTCGACGTTGCAGTATTACCTGTTTTCGTTTTATCGATGTTGAAAATAAACTATCTGTGAGACACAATACATCTTCTAGGGTGTATACAAACATATCGTGAAAAATTATTTTATATAATTGATTTTACTTTTAAAAAGTATTAAAAGTGTAGACAATAACACGTTGTGACATTTGTTTGTAGAAAAAATATGGTGTTTAAACGCTTAATAGCGATACATAGTTGTTGTAATTAAAATATGTACAATTAAGTATTATTTATTGATTTTTTGTAATTATTAAAGTAACGAGTTTTTGTTTCAAACCAAAGAACAATTATTATAGTTTTAGAATGTAGCTTATACATAAACTTTTAGCCGATAATAAAATGATTTAAAACCTCCACAGGAATTTCATTCCGCCCTGCCCGTGCTTTTCGCACATTATTTACACTTATCTGACAATTTTATTTGCATTTATTCCCGGCTTAAAAATACATTATTGTGGTCGTAAGCTCTTTTTGTCGCGCGGACGAGCGCTTTGTGGTCATTTTTCGTTGTTATGGGGTCAGGCGAAACATTATAAAGGACGAAATCAATAATGTATCGGAAGAGCAATCGAAGCGACCGGATTAAGGTGAAATATGGAAACAATGTCGCTCGAGCGCACGTGGAGACCTGAATTAAAACAAAGTCGGGTGAGTATTGAATAAGGTAAGTACGATGGAATTAGTTGGCGTTGGAGGGAAAAAAATTGTGTGCAACCCAGCGTTCCTAGGCAGCACAATTTCAGTATTAATCCGAAAAAGTCCACACCCAGTATATGTTTCGTAAAGTTTGCATTAGGTTACGTCGCACTATTAAGTGCAATTATATGTAGGGAAAATATTTTGAGTTTCAGTTGGCTTTAATCAAAACACTATAGTAGTCTACGCAGCATACACTAATTTTGGTACGCAAACTAGTTTCGAGTTTTTAATAAGTATTATAATTTTATCCAAATTTCAGTTTCAACAAATTTGTTTTTTTGTCGAAAAATTGAAAAATTAAAAATGCAGGTAATGAAAACTTAGAGATCAACCAGAAAATAAAAATGTAAAAACTGAAAAATTGTAAAACCGAAAAATTCTAAAATTGCAAAATGGAAATGAGAAATTGAAAAATTGGAAAAATCGTACAATTGAAAAATCAAAAAGTTTAAAAATTGAAAACTCGAATAATAATTGATAAAACCAAAAATCTACAAATTGAAAATTAGGAAAATTGAGAAATCTAAAAAATTGATAATGTAGATGAAAAAATAGAAAAAATTAAAAAACAAGAAATTTTGTAAATTGAAAACATTACAAAATCTTAGTTGAAAAAAAAATGTGGAATTGAAAATCGTAAAATTACAAAATTTGAAAACTGAAAAATCTAAACCTGACAAAACGAAAATGAAAAAGTCAAAAATGAAAGAGGGATAATCGAAAAAAGAAATCAAGAAAAAATTCGAAATACTGAAAAACTGAAAAATTAAAAATCGAATACTTATTTGAAAAATTGAGAAGTAAGAATTTGAAATTTCAGATAATAGGAAAATCAAATAAAAAAATTCTAAAATTTAAAACTAGAGAAACTGAAAAATAAAAAAAATGAAAAAAGCAAAATGTTGTAAAATGGAAATATTCAAAAATCTCAACGGGAGAAAGAAAAAGGTTACAAATTTGGACAATTTGAAAACTGAAAAATCGAAAAATTGTGAAATTGAAAAATCCAAAGTTGCAAAATTAAAATGAAAAAACTGCAAAATGGGAAGCAGGGCAAAAATCGAAAAGCTGAAAAATCGAAGTCGAAAAACTCAAAAACCGATAAATCGAAACACTGAAAAATTGAAAAATTAAAAATCAAAAACTGGCATTCGGATAATTCAGAAATCAAATTGAAAAAGTCTGAAATTGAAAAATCTAAAAATTTATTGCAAAATAGGAAAATTGTAAAGTCAAAAACAAAATCAAAAAAATGAAAAAACAAAAATTCGTAAAATGCAAATAAAAAAAACTGAACTGGAGAAAGAAAAAAATGTTACTCCTATATATAGATTTTAAAAACTTTAAAATTGAAAAATGGAAAAATCGAAAGAATCGATAAATTATAAAATGGGAAAAATTGAAAATTCGTACAATTGAAAACCGAAAAATATAAAAATTGAATAAACCTAAAAGTTGGAAAATCGGAAAATTAAAAGTCGAATAACTGAATTCAAAATTGAGAAATTGAAAATTTAGATAATTGAGAAATCGTGTTAAAAAATCGTAAAATTGAAAAATCTAGAAATTTAAAATAGAGAAATTGAAAAATCAATAAAATCGAAGAAATGAAAAAAAAACAAAACGTGTAAATACATTAAAAAAAAACAATTGAAAAAAGAACAATTGTAAAATCGAAAAAATGTAAAAAAAATCCAAAAATTGCAAAATTAAAACGAAGAACTGAAAAATAGGATACAAAGATACCTAATCCAAAAATCGGAAAAATTTAAAAATTTGAAAATTAAAAATTGAGAAAAGAACACTTGCAAAATTGAAAATTCGAAAAATTGAAAAATTGAAAAATAAATAATCAAATATTTGAAAAATTGAGAATCAACCATTTGAAATTTCGGATAATTGGGAAAATTAAATCTAAAAATTCTAAAATTAAAAAAAAACTGAAAAATCAAAAAAATGAAAAAAACAAAAAATTGTAAAGTGCAAATATCCAAAAAGCTCAACTGGAGAAAAAAAAAGGTTACAAATTTGGAAAATTTAAAACTGAAAATTCGAAAAATCGGAAAAACTCAATTGAAATAAGAAAAACTGTAAAATCGAAAAACCGAAAAATCGAAAAATTGTGAAATTGAAAAATCCAAAATTGCCAAATTAAAATAAAAAAAAAACGAAAAATGGGAAGCAGGGATAATCTAAAATTCAGAAAAGTTGAAAAATCTAAACATTAAAATGAAAATTCATAGAAACGGAAAAATCGATATATCGAAGTCTAAAAACTCAAAAACCGATAAATCGAAAAACTGAAAAAATTGAAAAATTAAAAATCAAAAACTGAAATTTCGGATAATTCAGCAATCAAATTAAAATACTCTAAAATTGAAAAATCTAAAAATTTATTTGAAAATAGGAAAATTGTAAAGTCAAAAACAAAATCAAAAAAATTGAAAAACAAAAATTTGTGTAATGCAATTTAAAATTGAAAAATCGATAAATTAAAAAACGAAAAAAATTGCAAAATCTGAAATTGAAAAATCGTACAATTGAAAACCGAAAATGTAAAAATTGAAAAACTTAAAAATCGGAAAATCGAAAAATTAAAAATCGAATAACTGAAATATTAAAAATTGAGAAACTGAAAATCTAGATAATTGAGAAATCATGTTACAAAACTGTAAAATTGAAAAATCTAGAAATTTAAAATTACAGATATTGAAAAATCGGTGAAATTTAAGAATAAAAACATACGAAAATGCGTAAAAGAAATACATTAAAAAAACAAATGGAAAAAGAAAAATTGTAAAATCGAAAAAATGTAAAATTAAATAATCCAAAAATTACAAAATTAAAACTAAAAACTGAAAAATAGGAAACAAGGATCATCAAAAATCGAAAAAATTCAAAAATCTAAAAATTAAAAATTGAAGAAAGAACACTTGCAAAGTTGAAAATTCGAAAAACTGATAAACTGAAAAATCGAAAAATTCAAAATCGAATATTTGAAAAATTGAGAATCAAAAATCTGAAATCTCGGAAAATTGAGAATTCAAATTAAAAAATTCTAAAATTGAAAACTAAAAATTTAAAACTAGAGAAACTGAAAAATCAAAAAAATTAAAAAGAAAAAATTTGTAAAATGCAAATACCTACGTATCAAAAAATGTCAACTGGAGAAAGGAAAAGGTTACAAATTTGGAAAATTTTGAAACTGAAAAATCGAAAAATCGGAAAAAACTCAATTGAAATAAGATAAACTGTAAAATCGAAAAATTGCGAAATTGAAAAAATAAAATGAAAAAATTCTAAAAATGTCAAGCAGTGATAATCCAAAATCAAAAAAATTGAAAAACCTAAACAGAAAATGAAATTTCGAAAAACTGAAAAATTGAAAAATCAAAAATTGAAATTTCCGATAATCAGAATCAAATTAAAAAAATTTTAAAAATTTATTTGAAAATAGGAAAATTGTAAAATCAAAAACAAAATCAAAAATATTAGAAAACAAAAATTTGTAAAATGCTAACAAAGAAACTGACTGGAGAAAAAAATATTATAAAAATGTTATAAATTTGAAAATATTTAAAATTGAAAAATCGTACAATTGAAAACCGAAAAATGTAAAAATTGAAAAACCTAAAAATTGGAAAATCGGAAAATTAAAAGTCGAATGACTGAAAAGTTAAAAACTGAGAAATTGAAAATTAAGATAATTGAGAAATCATGTTACAAAATTGTAAATTTGAAAAATCTAGAAATTTAAAAATAGAGAAATTGAAAAATCAATAAAATCGAAGAAATGAAAAAAACATAATGTGTAAAAGAAATACATTAAAAAAATTGACAAAAGAAAAATCGAAAAAATGTAAAAAAATCCAAAAATTGCAAAATTAAAACCAAGAACTGAAAAATAGGATACAAGTATAATCCAAAAATCGGGAAAAATTAAAAATCTAAAAATTAAAAATTGAGAACAGAGCACTTGCACAATTGAAAATTTGAAAAACTGATAAACTGAAAAATTAAAAATCGATTATTTGAAAAATTGAGAATCAAAAATTTGAAATTTCGGATAATTGGGAAATGAAATCAAAAAATTCTAAAATTTAAAACTAGAGAAACTGACAAATCGAAAAATCGAAGTCGAAAAACTCAAAAACCGATAAATCGAAAAAATGAAAAATAGAAAAATTAAATTAAAACTCTAAAATTGAAAAATCTACAAATTTATTTGAAAATAGGAAAATTGTAAAATCAAAAACAAACTCAAAAAAAAAATTAAAAACAAACATTTGTAAAATGCAAAAAAAAACTGAACTGGAGAAAGAAGTATTGTAAAATTGTTATAAATTTAAAAAAAAATTAAAATTGAAAAATCGAAATCGATAAATTAAAAAATGGAAAAAAATTGCAAAATCTAAGATTGAAAAATCTAATAATAATAATTGAAAAAC